GTCGTACTAGTCGTACTAGTCGTAGTAGTAGCAGTAGTAGCAGCAGCAGCAGCAGCAGCAGCAGCAGCAGCTGGTAGTACCTTGCCCTTGCTGCTGTGACTGGCTACATGCAGAGATCCAACACCCTAGCTGCACCACTGGGGGTGCTTGTGGCCCAAGCACGACCGTGACGTTAAAACCCAAGTTTTCCGGCTCAGAAGTGGTAACCGAGTAAACCGTATGGGACATGTCCCGAAATTTCTCTGCTTGTACTGCTTGCTTGTTGATTGCTCTTGCCTGCGCCCAGCGGCATGACTGCTCACAACCTCTTGAAAGCTCAACAGTCCTGTTTGTTCGAAAGGAAAGTCTTGGAGAAGATGCAGGCCTCAAGGGCCGCGAGACACGGCAATGCATTTCCAAGCGCATCGAAGCAAGCTCGACAAGAAGAATGATGTCTCGGGTCAGTGCATTCGCACCGACTTTGAAAGTCTCATTGACTATGTCATTGAAACCTGCCAATCAGGCCAGAGATCGAGATCTTACAGCCCTCCCCGCGAAACACTTCCCTCCCCGTGGCCTGGACGGAACATCTGCGACCACTTGGACCCGGTCCGCGCAGACTCTTCCAGCGCCATCCCTGGGATGTCCCGGGATTCTTCTTTGGCGGGCTCTGAAGAAAGCAAAGACTGTGGGAGCAGAGGACCCTGCGGAAGTGCGGTGGCTCCATGCCATGCGCCATCCGAATCGTCGCAGCCCGCACCCTCGGGTCCTGAAGGAAAAGCTATGACTTACGACTCTACAAAGGCACGACTTTGCCTCGGTGTAGAGCTGCTTGTGGGAAACCGGAACCTTGGCATTGGAAAACCGACTCCTCCTCTTCACTACCTCAGGCCAGCCCTCCCACCTTGATGCTTCGGTTCACGATGTCTGGAAGGGTGGAAACACGCCGCAGGTACTGCTGCCTCGTGTGCGAAGCGGCTTTCTACGTTGGGAATCGGCTGCTGCAAAAGTCTTCAGGTGTGCGAAGTCCCCTCAGCTTCCAGGCTGGAGATTCATCGGCAGATTGCGACGCACAAAGTCTCTGTCCTGCGTGCGTCGCCATGACTAAAAGTCATCAAAGCAATACCCGTGCAAAACATGGCTCCTTCTTGATTGCCAGCTGTGTGTCAGGGGTCCTGCGCACGGAAGATGCACAAATGACCGAGCCTTCACATGCTGCTTCAATCTGCACATTTGCTAAGCCGCACACGATACACCGGATTCACCTCCCCTTCCGACTGCATCCATCGTAGTCTGCAGCACAGAAGGAGGAATGACGCTGTCGGTGCCAGCTCAATGCAGAATACAGCTCGACAACGAACCATCAAGGTTGAGATCTTTACTGTTGCTATCGTAGACACTGTCATACTGCCACTATCATGGCCAAGATTACCACCACCGTTTTCATCACTCAACCATCACCATCTCCCTAATGCTCACTTGCCTCACCAACATCAACATCACCCTTCCTCGCCGCCATCATAATCGCGGCGATCAGCGTCATCATCCACACAGCCAGCACGGATCTCATCATCGCCCCATCATTGTCAAGCTCATCGCCTTCCTACGACTCAGTACCTCCACCCCAGCAGCATTTTCCACCTATCACCATAAGGACCATGACGATGCAATTGTCATCGCCATCATTTTTAGCATCTTTGGCACTGTCGTCAACATCAGAAGCAGCACAGCAGCATCAACGCCCTGATCGTCATCGTCTTTGCCATCGCCCCAGGGAAATAGCAGTACCATTCATGCCCCTTTCTTATGCCCTCATCGAAAACGTGTTCTCTTGCCTTACAGGTCTTGGCAGTCTTACCAGGTCTCAGGTCTGACCTTATCAGTCTTTATAGCGTTGACTATGCAAACCACTTGCTTGTAAGAATGGCTTGGTTAGCATGCGATCAGCTGAACTGTTTAGGTGTTGATCTTGCAGTGCTTGTTTAGCTCTCGTTGCGATTCCATGTTCATGCCTTTCGTTACATGTTGCTGCTTTGGTCACACGAGTTGCACGACCTGCTCTTAGGGCTCTATTACTGCGCAACTACTGTTGGATACTCCCGCGTTCATTAGTCCAACAATGGCAATGCTGACCAGTGATCCGTTCCAGATGTCTTGCTGCGGCTGCGGTAACTACTCTGAAACCTGATATGGCCGGCCGGATGTCTATGTTCACTACACGTAAGAACCTACGTATTGCTAGTGCCAGTACCATTGCTGTCGTGACGACAACACCGCATTCTATTGAACTTTTGCTACTCTCACTCACATCGTGGCTAGACTTATCACTGGTTCCCCTGTTGCCACACAATGTGATCCTGCTGCTAGGCTAGAAGTACCACTGCGAAATGCTGTTGCTACAACTGCCGCAAGCTCCCAAAAACCCTGAACCATAAAATCCATGAAGCTCCGCTCAACTTGCGGGCTGCCCACCTGGCGGGCTCGCAGCTCTGCCTCCACTTCATGCCGCGCAGCTGCCACGTCGTCGGGCTCAGGATCCGGCCTGAAAACCAAGCAGAATGACACGGAGGCGTTGCACGGACAAGTCTCATCCGGACAGGCAGCAGAATGCCGGAGAATGTACTCAACAACTGGCAATCAGAGCTTCATGATGACATCGGCGTCACGATGATGTTGATTACCAGCCATCGTCGTCATGTTCAACCATCGTCAACTATCACCGTGATCATCAGCAGCACGACGGTTACCATACGCAGCACAATCATCATCACGGGCAACATCGCCATCCCAACCATCATTGCCATCACCCACAACTACATTATACTAATACTGCTGTTTGTTGCCCTTCAGCATCATAACTCATAACCCTCAGCACCACCGCCTGCATCGCTTACAACGCCGCACAGATCAGAGACAGCACAAAGTTCGTCACCACAACAACAACTAGTTACACAGTCGGCTACTAGGATAGTGGGTCGGACCCTGGTGAAAAAGTGTGTGTGGACAAAGCAACGCTGACACCATGCGCCACTATCATCAACAGATCTGCAACACCGGCATCCGGATCATGATACGGATCATGAAAAGCATGGTAACTGCAAGCTTTCTCAAGGAACTTGCAACAGCTTCACAACCGTCGTCGCAATCGTAAAGGTGCGTGTCACCGTCTTCACGATTCCATCGTCCACACCGTTCTGCGGCAGGGTGTCTCAACTCCAGCTGCATCTCACTTCGCAGGAGTGGGCTCTAACTCCGACCCCAAATGGCAAAGGCCATCGAAGGCATCCGCCAGGTCCAAGCTCGTTGCAACGCCCGAGCTCGCGACGCACCCGCAGCGCTCGAAGGTAAGGCGGGCAGCCCCGATGGCCTTGGACCGTTCGAGAATGCCAGGATGTAGCATCTACCCGAGATCTTGAACACGTGAGGCTTCGCATGCATCGTGCTTTCGACTTTTGACACAACCCTTCCGGGTGGCGTGCTTCGTGAGCTCGTAAGAGGTGGCGATTGGCCTCGGCTGCCAGGAAGTAGGAGAATCCAGAAATTGAATAGTTTTAGTTTTTGACAAAGGCGGGAAGTCAGTCAGTCAATCGAGTTCGGCGGCTGGATAGTCAAGTTAGTTGGTTAGTTAGTTAGTTAGCTAGTTAGTTAGTAAGTTAGTTTGTAAGTTAGTTAGTTAGTCAGTTAGAAAGAGAGTTAGTTAGTTAGTTAGTTAGTTAGTTAGTTAGTTAGTTAGTTAGTTAGTAAGTTAGTTAGTAAGTTAGTTAGTTAGTTAGTTAGTTAGAAAGCTAGTTAGTTAGTTAGTTAGTTAGTTAGTTAGTTAATTAATTAGTTAGTTACTTAGTTAGTTAGTTAGTTAGTTAGTTAGTTAGTTAGTCAGTCAGTTAGTTAGCAAGCTTTTCTCTTAGTTAACTAGTTAGCTAGTTAGGTAGCCAGTCAGCCAGCTAGCTAGCCAGCCAGGCGGCCGGTCGGTCGGTAGGGATAGCTGGTTAGATTGATGGGTACTTAATGACGTAGTGAGATGTAGTGAGCTAGCTGCTAGCTACTACGGGAGCTTCACTCGTGCCTGTTGGCGAGTTGGTTAGCACCTTGCAGAAATGACCCGGACACAGAGGTCGTGACGGTTCTGCCGAGAGTGCTGGATAGCCGCCCTGGCAGGTCGGGTGCGCAGCCGGACTCACTCAGTGCAGTTGGAAACCTGTTCAAACATGAAACCGAAACCCTGAGCTTGAAGCACCTAAAAGCAAACCTCCACGCTCTTCAGAACGGGCAATCGCCCTTAAATGAGGGTCTGGCCTTAGTCAACATCCCCCAAGTATAGTTTCCAAGGAACTCCAAAAACCCGAAACCAAGTGCAAACAGCTGGGCTGGCGATGTTCGTGAGCTGTGCCCACTGCCGATCGGCCTGAAACCACGGCTGAGGCGTGTCATACCGGCAGTATCCGGTAGTGTTCTTTTAGACTGGCGGGCATGAATGTGTCAGCTGATAATGCTGGTCCATGAATATGTCCGTCGCCTAACTTTTGTCGGGGTCTCGACTTGGAAGCTATGCATGCATTGCTGAAAGGCTGAACCGCTGCATCGCCGCCGCATTCTGGTGATGATGCACTACTGGCGTTTGTTATTTCAGTGGTGTAGCGCATATTCGCGCTATGCTACTATGATAGAAGAAGTTTCAAAGGTGCCAAGACCAACTTGCCTCTGCCTCTCGAGCTCCCAACCCGCTCGCAACCTCAGATCCACCGCATCTTTGGGCTCAGATTCATCTTAGGTTCAGAAGCAAAACTCCAGTGAAAAAGTATGGGCTTGGATCTGGAACTGAGGTCGTAGCAGATTCCTTTGTCATCGCCTTGCATGCTCAGCATCATAGGCAGTTGCAGGTGGGTACAAACAAGGGTAACGATTACTAACAGGAAATCGCGGTATGTTATGTTCTACGGTGTAGTGCATCGTGCAGACTGCATTGTGAAATGTAAACTGCATGATGCGAGATGCATAAGGTAGAGTGCATACAGTAAACAGTGTTTGGTATAGAACGTACAGTCTATAGTATATCGTCTATTATAGAGTATACAAGATGCATTGTCTTGTCGTTACAGCAGTATATAGTGGGGTGCAACTCATCGAAGGCTCTTCATGTTGCTCGGGCCGCTACTTGCGGAGGTAGCGGAATCTCCAACTCCTCGCCCGGCAGTGCACCCTCTGGCACAGCGACGATCACTTCCTGGACTGTGTAGGGTGCAGGGTAGGCTTGCAGCAGAGAAGAAAGAATTGAACTCACCAAGTGTAGTGTAGAATCAATACATACTGCGCTGGTGCCTGTATGCATGCTTACGTATGTCTAGCTCACTGATTGCTAAAAAACAACCTGACAATATCTGTGATATACACGTCCCTGGTGCTCCCCTCCTGACCGCTGGGCGCAGTGAAAGAGAGCTCGTCGCCGGGCTGGGAACCCTCGGGAATGGTGACGATCATGGTGTCCACCGGGGGTGCCTGGGAGCTTTGGAACTCTCGTCTCAAAACTGCTGTCCTGCACGCGGAAGCCCGCAGGCCCGGAGACCACGCATTCCGCATCAGCTCTTTTTTCCCCTGTTTCCACCTTTCTCCTTGCGGCTGCAGAGTGGTCGAGGAGGCCACCTGACAGGAACTAGGCTGCGGTTTCAGACACTCGCTGTTGTCTTCTCGCCCCTCTCATGCAGAACCTTCGTGGCGTTCTGGTAGCATGACTTCCAGACACCTGCAGGTGGCTGAGGTGCTGACATCCTCAAAGCTGCGGCAAGGCCCCACACCAGCCTCCGATAGTCTGCCCAGTACTGCTCGACCAACTCGGAAAGCTCCTCTGCCTTGCAATCTGATCGCAGCTGAACTTGGACCGTGCCATGCTGAGACCACACCTCCTCTGCTGTCTCGGCTTCCGCAGCTTCACGCTCGGTGTGCATGGCCAGGTGTCTTGGGGCACTCCGAATGCACACGTCCGCAAAAGCGCACGCTTTTTCGGATGCTTCCGAGCGGCCGCTTCCAACGACCAGACAGTCCATGGCAAGGATGCGCATTAGCAAACCTCACGCGATCCCGAGCTTATAAACAGAACACAACTGCTGAAGCGCACACCCGTCTTGAAGTTAAGAACGACGTTCTTGTCGAGCAGCTCTTCCAGCTTGGCCCAAGCTGCAAAAAGCCTACCATCTGGTTGATGCAAGAGTCTGCAAGAGCAAAGAAAAGCGAGAGAGCGAGTTCAGCTACCACAAACCACTGGATCTGTTGATACATCGCACGCTGTCTGTGCCGAATTAACAACGACATCAAAAGCAATGAGTAGCACCGACAACCTGCAACATCCTGCAACTGTACGATGCATGTCAAACCGAAGATCTGGAAATCAACATACATCAGTACCCCCAAAACAAGGTTGAGCCAAGGGACGCTTCAGGCACTGCCTGCCGCAAGTTGGATTCCCCAGACGCAAATCCGCACATGCGAGTCGACAGTCTGCACGTGAACTGGTTTGTCCCCTACTGGTCTGTGGTGTCGCAAGATGTCGCAAGCTGGCGCGGTCCGGCCTCAAGCAGCTTCTCTCCCTCCTGCACAGGCGTACTCCGCTCTTTCAGAAGCTGCTGCTTGTTGCTGTCCGGTGATGTCCTCCTCGCGCTGCAGCCAGGCTTTGGCCCATCGGCCGCTGGGAAGCAGCCCCTGTTTTGAAGGGAAGGGCAGATGAGATCAGAGAGCTGAGAGCTTTCTCGCACTCCTCCGAGGAAGCCAGGATGTCGGCAAGGTTCGAAGAGTCTGTTGACCTGAGAGGTAAAAGCACTCCAAGGGTCCCACCGCGTGCCCCAAAGCTATCATTCTCTCCCCTTTGCCAGAGAGCAGCTCTTCAGGCAGTTCGCAGGCATCGTCTGCAGAAGCCTCCTGTCAAGGATGGGCATGCGACTTTGATGCCGACTGTTTTCGCGAGCCGGCACATGGCAGCACACGGGAGCATGAAGCTCACATAAACGATGATCCCAACAATGGAACTCGGCGTTGCTACTCGGAAGAGTCATACACCTCCTGCCTGACTTTCCATCCACTGTGGTGGATCCCGGAGGCTCTGGCAGGTGAAACGTCGAGTGTCGTCCTGACACAGACGTTGCAGGGCAGCACGAAATTACAAGGCAAGGCAAAGTGTTCAGCCACTGCACATCTTCAAGGCACCTCCAAGGCAACACAACGGCTGCAACAGCAGTCAAAGTCCCAGCGATCTAATAAAATCTTCTTTCCTCAGAATCAGAACCGTCAGAAGAGGAAAGAATACAGACAGAAGTGTGCCTTTCAAGCAAGCCGGAAGACGCATCCAAGCATCTCTGCGTTATTGGGCGTGTAAGATCCGAGTCGCACAAATAGCTCGTCAGAATCTCATCACCAACATGAATCGGAAGGAGGCATACGAGCTCGCCAAATCCATCCTGCCAGAAAATGCTGCCGACTCTGCGGCAGGGTTTCGCTGTCACTCAGTGCGTTATCCGCGTCCTGCGACGCAACTGTGGTCACATTGCTGAGGCAGGAGTGATTGGCCTTCGAAATTATGGGATAGACCAGTTGCCAAGTACTGTCCGTCGAAACGTAGGAGTTGTACCTAAGCTCCCATCACGGCGCTTTACAACAAAATCTCACAAAGAAACGGAACAAGGTGCGACATGATGGTCATCGCATCGGCCATTGCCTCCTGTCGAGGGAGAACAAGCAGCTAATGTGCCCCAACACCGATGGCAAGTTTACTGTGATTTTGGCAACCGGCCCACGTGGAGATGTTTTGCAGTTCGACGTGATGAACCCATCTGGGAACAGACTCCTTGGATGGACCTTCAGACTTGCAGTGAAAAACGTAGCAGCTGAAGGTGTGCAAGCATTTCTTCCTCTTCCATCCACGCGCTTTGTGAATGTGCTGGGGACCCGAACATATGCCTGCGCTGTTGTGCAAGTGTGGCAGATATCATGTAGCCACGAAAGTATGAAAAATACAGAGTGAAAATTCGCTTGACATGGACCATTTCCACAAGCCCAGACCCCACCTCCATGCCTCCATCCCCTGTCGAAGTCCTGCTGTCCCGGAGACGCGTCCGGCCAAGTGCTTGAAGCCCAGCTGCCATACGCATTGCGGCGCTCCTCGCGTTGAGGCCAAAGTCGAGGCCAAAAGCCGAGTGCTTGCAGCCACTTCGCAGCAATCAGCACAACACGCCCAAAACCCGCGTCCTCTCCCAAGCTCCCAGAAGGACCACGAAAGAGCGATGTCGACCGAAGCTTCGTCAACGTAATGCCCGCATCATCACCTGCAAGCCTCGATCTGCCAAACGAATTGGCATGATTTGGCCGGAGCACCGCGGCGCTTCTTCGAACTCGCTTCGGCAACCGGGTAGCTCGTCGAATCTGGCCTTTAGGCCTTCGATATCGCGATCCACAGCGGTCACGCCAAGCCCTAGGAAGAGAGCATCTCTCAAGATGAAACCTCACGAAAGATGTTCTTTGAGCTCCAGACGTGCCACATGCTTCTCTGTAAACACCTGGCAGCTCGACGGAGGCGTTCAAATCCTGACAGGAACCATCCAGAAAGTGCGCCTGGTCACCGGGCTTGAAGCTTCTGGTGGCAAAGACGCCCTCACCACCAAGCTGTGAAGGCTGGATTCGTACGCCCGTCTCTTCCAGCTCCATGGGCTTGCGGCTCAGTGAAGTGCAGGCTTAAGGCTTAAGGTTGGATGTCGCGTCGATCTGGAATCTAGCGAAAACACTGCATGTTGAGCATCCCGACACGGGATGGGGTGGAGGGACGACCTCCCGTTCAGCGACAAACGGCTGAAGGTCAGCCGGGTGAGCCAAACTTTTTAGGTTTTCATGCATGGCTCACTCCTCAGCAAGCGAAGACGGGACTGGAAGAAGCTGGGTCCGATGCTTCCAGTCTGCTAGGCCTGCCATACGGGATAGGTCTCGCCGCAAACAGAACAACAACACGTTGAAGAGCGAACCTCGCTTTGCACTTACGATAGCGTTTCCCCAAAGCTTCTTCACACCCTCCGCTCAAATCGTCGGGGAACAAACGTGAAGGTCGTTGATCTGACATGGGGCTAACTAAGTGTGTTGCTGAATGGGTTTCAAGAGAGCCCAGTCGCAGTGGTTGCAAGCTCACTGTATCCCCAGCAGTACTTCCCCGAGGCCCGAGCTGCGACAGCTCAGTGACCTAAGGAGCCGCAGACATGGTCTCTGCCCAAGACGAAAGCGGCAGAGACTAAAAGCCCAGGTCGCCGGCTGCGGCTGGATTGGTTTGCCTCAACCGCTCCATCTCCCGCAGGTACTCCTCCATCGGCCTTGGTCACCGTCTCGGGCAGCATAAACAAGGTTGCTCTGTCAGGGTCTAGGGGAGCGACGCTGTGTAGTTCAGAGGAAAGAAGCCTTTGTTTTCAGGAGCTCCGACTAAATGGCCAAAGACCTCGTCACAGAAGCGATGAAGGGAATCGATTCGACTCAATACACACACTGGTAAGATCCTCACCCATCCGGTTCCTCCATCGTGCAGGACCTCCACAACGTTTCCCACCTTGAGAGGAAGCGGCGCCTGATTCCTGAGAGTCCAGGGATCATCTTCTGCTTCTGCCGACAAAGATGAGTAGATGCAGGGTTCGTGTCCCGATGACAGCTTCTGAGTATATGGCGGAAATCTCCAATCGATCACCTCACTTGCTGGTGGCATCTGCAATGGGAACAGCTGTGCAACTGGTCGGATGTCTTTCCATAACAAGATAAGTTAAGGGAGGATGGTGGTGATGGTCATGATGATGATGATGATGATGGTCACCATCACGGTCATGATCATGAAAAAGACCATGACCACGCTCATGATCTTGGTCACGATCAATGCATACAGCATACGATCATCATGCTTCCTGCTGCTGATGATGAAGATGATGAGGATTTCGTAGCAGGCTTGTGAAGCTGCTATCGGTTAACACAAGGTTCTCTCTGCCATCCCCCCGCTGCTATGCCTGAAATGTAGCCGTGCCTTCGACAACACACGCAGAGCTGGGGGCGGGACCGAAGGATCGAAATCGTAGAGTGCAACGCACCTCTGTCCTGCTCCATCCCCGGGCCTCGCACACAGGAATCAGGGAGGCGCAAGGGGCTCTCTCCCTCTCAAAACATAAGGAGCGAGAGCAACGCAGAAACAGTCAGGCAGATCTGGGAGCTTAATGCACATTGGCTGGAGTGCAGCTGCCTGAAATCATCTTCGAATCCAGCCCTGGCACACACGGACTGCTGCGAGAATGACGCGAGAGCGGCTTCCCGGACACCAGTGCGGCCAAGAAACATGTTTTGGTCTGGTTGATTTCAACGGCCAACCTGTCACGCAGCGTCTTCTTGACATATCGCTGATTCGGATCTACCGATCTCGGTCTCTGGCCAGTAACTGCTGCCCTGCTCGAGACCTCGTCCTACATGTGGCAGAGCACGCCTCACAGGTTTGCAGAATCAGCACCCCTTAGCACCGTAGAAAACTTCGTAGTCTTTATATGTATCTAGCTATCCACCATGGCTTAGGATTTGGGATTTAGGATTTCAGGCACCGTAATCTGTATTCAGATATCTAGAAGGTTCAGGGTCTGAAGTCTAGAGGTGAGCACCATCGCATTTATTGATTGTTGTCAGCTGTGGCGACACTTGCCTCAATGTTCAGGGTTTCGGGGTTCCATGCTTGAATCTGGATGGGTAGCCAGCCAGGGGCCTTGGGAATACTAGCTGGGCTGCAGGAATGCTTGGCTCAGATTTCGCCTTCAGCACGTGACGGCCATACCCCAAGCCGCTCTTCTACTGAGCCGAAGGTCTTCGATCCAAGAGCTCTGCTACGTTGCCGACTCTGCTGAGTCCATCACGGGCAACTCATGTGGGGCGCAGCAGATTGCAGAGCTGACGAACAAACAAAGAAGCACAAAACAGACGTGCTGCATGAGACTTGCTCGTACGTTGCGTGTCTTACTCGTTGCTCAGACGAGAACCCCAACTTCCCATTTCCTACAGTAATCGGTGCTTGTGCAGAAAGCTGAGAGGCAACTCTGCGAAAAGGTCCTTTTGCGCTTGGTGCACCTCCTGTACAACGGGGCGGGCTCTCGGAAGCACCGGAAAATTCCGGACTCCTTCGGCCCTGTGGCGAGCATTGAAGAAACTGGGCGGCGCAACTCACCCGCCAGCCTCCAACCTCGTGCAGTTCTACAAAGAGAAACGTCAAAATCCAGAAAGGAGCACTTCAGTAAGGCTGGGACGCCCCTCCCACACCGCAAATCTCCAAGATGGGGTTGGCTTCATCCTGTACCTCTTTGAACTCTTGCACTCTTGGATCACTCATGACCCCGACACGCACCCTGCAAACCAAGGAGCAAGTTGCACTGAAGCACCAAACTGCTGAGCCAACCAGATTGCCTCGCAGGACGCCCTTCACACACCAATCTGACAAAACCGAGAAAAGCAGCATTAAAGTCTCATGCCGAGCAACAGTCTGGAGGTGCAAGCATCGCGTCGCTCTCCCCAGTCGGAGCCGCGAGCGGCCCTTTGCCAATGCCATGAAAATCACCAGCTGGTCCTGCAAAACACGCAACATGAGCCGCAACATGGGGGTTTCCGATAATTAGGGGATCTTAATATAGTGCCCTAAAGAGTAGGATCCCGATTATAAGGATCCCAAAATAAGGTACCCTTATTTTCGGAAACTCCCACATGTCATCCCTTCCCGACGTGCGACCTGCCCTACGTCCTCGAGATGCTCGTCGGTGCAGCCTCCGCCGCCCAGGGCATCCAAGGCCTTCCGAACGGCTTCCTCGCCCACGCTCTCTGCGGAGGCCCCCCTCCTTCCCATCGAGTCGCCTCCGAAAATGCTGTGCTCTGTCTCCACAGCCACCACGAGGCCACAGGCATCACCACCATTGGAGGGGCATTCCTGCGAGTTCAACCGCACCTGTGCATCAGGGAGACGCTCCTTGAGCAGGATGCTAGCGCCAGCTGGGCGCTTCTTCAAGTTTCCCTCGACCATGCGGCCCAGTACATGGCGAGGAACCCCCACAGAGCTGTACACCGCAGCAGAAACACCTCAGAGCAGAATGTCAGAGTTGTGTTTGGGGATCCATCGGAGAGAAATTGAAGGGTGACGGTACGGGATGACAACCTGAGCCCCAAACCTAAACACTCAGAGACCCTGACACCGAGACACTTCGGACGGCGCCGCAGTCCAGAAGCTCGAAGCACGGAAGCGGCCAGCAAGGGGCGGAAGCGCGGACAACGACTTCACCGCCTCCACCAAGGAAGCCCTTCTTGTGGACATCCATTTCCAGATTCACGCCCAAGAGGAGTCGCAGCATGGGAAACAATACAAGCTGCATGTACTCAACTTGGGGAGCAGTCACTTTCCCATCCTTGGGTGAGCATACATTGGTACCCCCTTGTAGGGTAACCTGCACTGTGGACTTGAGCATGCCAGATTTAGCCAGCATCACCGGCAAGAGAGCCTGTAGCATCAGCATTGTGGAGCCCCCAGTGCCGGCATCCACCACAAGATCGGTGATGTCGTTGCCTTGCTCCGTGACATAACGGAAAGCCGTGCTGCCTGCTGCCAGTCCCTCACAGAAGCCCCCCGCCAGTCGGCTGACACCCTCTACCGCAGCCAGATGTGAAGGTCTCAGGCCCGGGGGCGACCTGCCCGACCTCACGTTGCGAACTCGCACTTCTCTCTTCAGCACGGCAGCGTACGCCACGGCGTTGCGAAGCAGCTGTCCGCCCCCTTCCAGGTGGGAACCGTCCAAGTCCAAGCCGCCGCTCGTGGCAGGAGGCTCGATGGGCTTAATCTCTGAGGTCAGGTACAGATTGGGTCTGGAGGCCTTTGCCTCCTTTGCGGCCGTCGCCTCCGCCTCCTTCGTGTCTTTCGGGGCTTCGGCCTTTCCAGCTCGGGCCCGGGATCCGGACAAAACCAAGCCCAGCAAGATCCAGTCGTCTCGGGTCTGGACGGACAGGGTCACGGCGGCCTTCAGCTCAAACCGAAAGAATCCTACAGAATCCCACTACAATTCTACAATACAGATTTAATTTTAGTGCCATTTTTTGCCCCTTTTGGGGCTCCACAGTGCATCTGAGCAGCTTTCAAATCTGGAGACCACTGCACGAGGCCTGCAAGGGCGCCAGCCATAGCCTGCCGGAGCCTCACGGTCTGCTCCTGGGACCCAGCCGCCTTGCACTGGACGTAGAAACCTCGTCCACTTGGAGGCTCATGGCTAGTATGGGTAATAATTTATAATTATAGTTACCCTACTTATAACCCCGAGGCTCATGGCTAGTATGGGTTATAATTATAGTTACCCTACTTATAACCCCACTTATAACTACCCATGAACCTCCAAGCAAATCTTTCTGGGTTCCGAATGTTGCACTCCGGAGAAAGAAAGGTGACTCTAATTAGGGCTTCATACCGCTGCCGGCTATCGCGTCTATCCCTGAACTACATAGTCGCTGCCGCCCCCGAAGTTCCTGGCTCTCCCAAGAAACTGGGCTTCTCCAAGGAGAGGCCCTGCCAGGTGGCCAGAGCCTCCCAAAGTGACGGGAAGCTCTCATCTCTTCAAAAACTGCTGAAGGCTGACTTAAGTGAAAGCCCAGCCTACACCCGGAAAGTTGAAGCCAAGGCCCGACACCCCCCGAGTCAAACCCGAGCTTGACATTGACCACCTGAGAAGCCTGCAACCCCCAAAACCGGAATCTCCCAAAACCCATCCTTGGGCATGGAGGCCTGCAGGCTGTGCTCCAGGGCCTCTGCACCGCGCCCGGAGAGCCTCAAAGGAAAGGACCGTAGATGGCTTCAGGTTTGCGACTGCTGCAGCCAAGTGGCCGCTGGGCAAGTTCTTGCTGCATATCTGCCAGAGGCTTCTGCAAGAAGTCTTCGGAGATTTGGAAGTATGCCACCGCGGCGTGCAGTGTTTGAAACAAGTTCTGCTTTTGCAGCTGCTCCAAAGCTCGCATGCTCTGGCTGCTGAGGGGCCTCTCGTGGAACGTGAGCCACATCTTTCCACGCAGCTTGGGCGGCCAGCCCTTGCAGTGTAGCAAGGGCTCGGAGACTGGACAGATCAAGGTGCTCAGAGCACGGGAAATCTTCCGGAAGCGCACTGACGCATCGTAGGTCGCCCAGATGTCGACAGACTCCCCGGTCGCAGCCAGACCGAAGTCGCAAACGGGATTGCCCTCCGGCAGGGCGCCTGCCGAAGCCGCCGCAGAAGCAAGGGACTCGGCTGAAAGTTGCCGTTGCACAAGCCCCGTCACTGTGAAGGGCTGCAGGGAGACTTGCTTTACTGAAGCGTCTCCTTCTTCTTGCCGCTTGAGCATGTCATTGGAAAGCTTCGCTGCCACCCCAGGGAGTCTTGCTACAGTGATGTGCGGATGAAGATTCTGGCAGAGGTGCGCGCAAGTCGAGTCTAACGACACCCTGAGCGCAATGAGCCCGAGGCCCTCATCCCAACACAATGCGTGCACGGTGACCTGCACCTCATGGCCTTCCATCCTCTCGAGCTCTTCCTGAGCTTGTGAAGTCTCCCGGCCAAGTTCGGGTGCCCAGAGCAAGGTGACGTGAGGATCAGCGATTGGCTGTAAGCTGGGTGCATGCGCTGTTTGGATCGCCTGCATTGCTTTTGCTAGCACTTCCAGGAAAGGTCCCTCCTCCTTCTCCCACAAGATGCTTTGCCAGTCTAGTGCCACCATCCAGTAAAGAGTCTTCCATCTCTTTGAGAGATCCACCTGGTCTGGCAAGACTTGTGCTTTAAGCTTATGCGAGACATCAATATGCACCAACAGCGCGAACTTGCGCTGAAGCAGGGATGGGGGGCATAAGTGTGGGATAAAGCAACATGTTCATGTGTCAACTACGTTCCCTTGAGGGCCTCATGTGCCTTTGCTGCCTCCACCGCGTGCCGGTAACGGTCTTCAGTGAAAGACTCTTCCGACAGGAGCCCTGCGTCGTAGAGCTTGCTCAAAGCACTCTGAAGCAAAGCCTGCTGTGGGAGGCTCATGTCAAGATCCGCATACACGTCGAACTGGCACTTCTCCTCATCCGTTAAGACTTCAGCGCTCTCCCCCGCAGACAAGACCACTGCAGTCGCATCTGTGGCTTGTGGAACCAGCGAGAGGTGGGATAAACCCCTGCCCGAGATCCGAGCCGTGCACACCTCTGCGGCGTGGGAAAACTCGCCTTCCTCATCTTCAGGGTGGCAGAGATTTAACAAAGCCAGCACCATCCGCCCCTCTTGAGTTGAGCGCTGAAGAAAACCTTGGCAGACGGCCCCCGCCACTTCGTCCCGGTGCTGCTTCAGCGTGTGGATCTTGTCTACGAAGAGGTAGCGCATGTTCGGTCGAGCTGCCGCCGCAGTGAGCACCTTCAGGAACTCTTCTTTCGGAGACCTCCCCTTTCTTCCCATGGCCGCAGCCACCTCGTCCTGGTTCACCCAATCGCCGCCCAGGAGTTCCCTCATGCCCCTGCAAAGGCTGGACTTCCCACTTCCCTGGAGGCCCCGGACGAGGACCACCACCAGGGCCACGTCCTCGTCCTCGGCTCTGACATCGCTCGCTTTCGAAAAAGATCCCAAGGAGGAGGGGAGCTGCTCGAGGACCTTCTGCAGCCAGACGTCCGGTGCCTGCACACAAGGGGAACGCGAGCACGAAAGCCCGAAAATCACCCCCCAAAAGCCTCGGTTTCCAGGGAAGGCCGATGGCGACACAGCGCCGGCACCCACTGCTCCAGGGGCAATTCGGCCTCAGCTCAGGGCTCCATTTAAAGAGCAGATCCCTAGGCGAAAGCAGGAAGGAGTGCGTCAAGTCAATAAATAATAATAATAATAATAATGATAGATGATAATAAACATAATAAACAATAATAGTAATAATACTAATCATAAAAATCAATAAGGGGGCCCGCAGGAAGGAGTAGAGCTCCGGGAAGGAGGCCAGCCAGCCAGCGGGAAAGCTTGCAGTGAGGCTTTCGGGCAGTGCCCTGACCCAGCGGCTCTCAGGGAAGAGATCGTGTGCGGCTTTGAGGTCCACCCAGAAGGAAGGCAAGATCTCCGCAAAGCCCTTCGGCGGAAGCAGGAGCAGCACCCAGCGGTAGAAAGAGAGGTAGTCCTCTAAGATCTTGTTCTCATCTGGGTGGTGGACATGAAGAAGTCGGATACGGCTGCGGATGCGCGATTCGGAGGCTCTCCTGCAGAACTTCTCCCGGAGGGCCCGAACCGTAACATACCAAGCATTCTTCCACTTGTAGACCAGGGCAGTTCGCGCCAGTTGGGTGCCGGAAGGGCTGAGAGACCGCACGACCACGTAAACCACTGCACCTTCCCGGTTCGGGAGGAGCAAGTACTTCCGCTCAAGCTCTTCCACAGCTCGGGCGTCGCTGACCAGGGCTTCCTCCACATCTTCCACAGGCTGGAGCCCTGAGCCGATGTGGTCCCCAAGACCGAAGAAGCATTTAAGAGACTCCAAAAACAGCTCTTAGTCAAGTCTAGAAGTTTCCAGCTTCCAAGGCAGAGGCGCCCCAGTCACCGAAGAGGCGAGCCGCCTGCTGCGGCTCTAGCAGAGTCAGGCCGGAGGTCTGGAAGGAGCTGGGAGCAGTCATGGCGAAGAAGCGGATGTGCGCCTGAATCTGCCCTTGACCTCGCGTGACATCCCGTGCGACACACGAGTACATAATAAAACATGCTCTGACGCATCTTACCACTTTATGCTGGAGCATGCTACATGCTAGAATCTAGACGATCTCTCTGGCGAGGAGCCGTCGTGGTAGCTTTGGATGTGCTGGTGCACCGGGGATATGGATTCTCCACAAAGCGTGGCGGAGTGCTCAGCTACGAAGCGCATCATGGTGGTCCTCTGCCTCTCACTCAGCTGGAAGATCTGGGCAAGGAAGACCTCGGCCATCTCCACAGCGAACTGGTACCGATCCTCCGTGTAGGTTCTCAGGTCTGCCAAAGCCTCGACCTCCTGCGTAGCCACGACCACCAGGGTGACGTTCTTGGATCCCAAGGCCAGGTAGGGCCTTTTGGGGTCCATTATGGCTATTACACATTATTGTCATAAATGTTTTATCAGTCTTACCATTATTATGGCTATTGTTCTTGTCCTTATTCATGTTACTAGTACGATTACTACGACACTTACTATTTCTCTTACGAGTATTCTGATTGTTATTATTATGACTATACTTATGACTGTCCTTATTCTTATTATTGCTATCACTATTGTTGTTGGGCCTTTGCCTTCCCTCGCCCTGGCCGTGAAAGAAGAAGGAGGCCTTGCACATCTCCCCGTTCTCCTCGCAGGCCAAGAAGGCCGGCCCCACAAATTTCCCAGGGCCCCAAAAAAGAAGAAGAGAACGAATAAGAACAGTAGTAATGACTCAATGACAATAACAAAAAACAATAATCATTACAAGACTTCACAAATATTAATAACAGCAACAGTAACAGTCAGAATAACAGGAAGAGCCTGGGCTGAAGCTTAGGCTTAGGTGCCTTCGTGGTGAAGACCATGGCCAGGCTCAGGCTGTTTGGCGCCTCAGCGGCCTCAACGCTCCTCAAGGCCTTCGGAAGAACGGAGAGGGCGCAGCGGCGCGCGCCGTTCCCCTCCCGGGCCAGGGGCCCAAACTTCTCCTCGGAACTCCCGAACTTCCGCATGGCCGCGAGCTCACAGAGCAGACGGCCGGTCTCCGTGCGGACCTCCGCGTGGCCCCGTGGCAGGGACTCCCAGAGGGCCAAGTTCTGAGAGAAGGCCCGGTCTGCATTGGCCCTGCTGGCCGGCTGGGAGTCGATGATGGTGAAGGTTGCACCGGAGGGCAGCTCCTTGCTTCGCTCGACCTTTCGGATCTTGTGGGTATCAGCCTGCATGCGAGCTCCCTTCGCGGTGTCCGCGCCCAGGCAGGAGCGCAGCCAGCTTTCCACTCCTTGCTCCGTGACTTGGGTCGCAGCTTGGGCCTTCTCTTTCGCGAAGAAGCTGCGCAGCATTCCCTCGGAATTTTCGGGGCAAGGCTTGGACTTGGCCTTGGTCTGTACCGCTGCCTGTTGCTCTTTGCCTGCCGCCATGGCTTTCTTCTGGGCGGTGCAGCGGAGGGCATAGTAGTGAAGCATTGTGGACATCTCCTCCGACTTGCACTGCAGACTTGGCTTTAGAAGAGGATCCGCCGAGCAAAACTCCACTTGGAAGCCCTTGCCACAAACGGCAGGAATCAGTGATGTGTCTGCCAACTGTGGTGGGTCGGCCTTGCAAGCGTGTCATCGCATCTTCCGGAAGAGTGAGAGGGGCAGTAGGGGTTGAGGCTCAAGACCCCCGATATCCCGAGTTCATCGAGCCTTGAAATCGAAGGCCAAACCAAGGTCGCTGCCGTTTCGGGCAAAAGAAATCTGAAGTCCCTGCCGGCGGTCCAGACGCGACTCGATCACATCGCCACTTCCGAAAGTGTCCTAGGTGCTTCAGGCTCCGACGGCTGCCCCCCCAGCCAATGTCTGTGGACAAGGACAACTCAAAGACTGGTAGCAAACACATGGGCAGTTGTCAAAATTAGGGTCCCTTTTTGGGTCCTTATTTTAATACGGCACCTATTATTTAGGATACCCCAAAAAGGACCATAATTTTGACTCTTGGGGTCCTGTTTATAAGGGTGCCGTACTATATTGGGTACCCCAAAAGGACCCTAATTTTGACAACCACCCACATCGGAGAAAGTGTTGCGACAAAGCCCAGAAACACCGAAGGAGTCGAACACATTGGCGTGGGATTTCCTGGGGGCACACACCATGGGCAGGTTTTAGGGTTTAGGGTTTAGGGTTTAGGGTTTAGGGTTTAGGGTTTAGGGAGGTTCAGTCGAAGGAAACCAAAAAACAAAACTTGATTCGGCGAGCTTGTAACAAACCCTTGCACGGGCTTAACTCAAGGATTTGTCCGGCCTTTCCTACATCACTGGGAGACACACACAAAAAAACAAAAACCTCGCAACTCAAACCGAAAAATGAAGCACGGCATTCAATCAAGTATCCTTTTCTTGTTTCTTGACTGAAAACAGAGTGAAGGTGCACGGAAACGCCCGTCGCAGCCTTTTCTTCTCCAACCCGTCCATGTTAAGTACGCCCTAAACCTCTAAACCTTCAGGGACATCCTCTTTCCCCACCTCATGCTGCAGCTCGGTGTCTTCCCTGTCCCTCCGAAGCCAAAGCTGGTCTCGTCGGTTCCCACAGCATCTGCAGAGGCCTCGTCCGCGACCCAACCCACCCGGACCAAGCCGGAAAGAATGCGCACGGAGAAGAAGCCTTCCGGGAGCGGCAGCGACCGGCCTACTAAAAACCCTTCTCTTTGCTGTAAGCTTCGAAATGTGCTCAGGGACAACAGCTTGGGCTTTCAGCTTCGGCCGAGTTTGAACCAAGCCCCTGCACATCTCGAACTTCTATCTCACCAACATGACAAGCCCCGTCAATTAAGAAACAGCCAAACAAAGCAACACCGCTTTCTGGCCTTGGCCTTTCTCTGGGATGCGCAATCCTTGCAGGCAGGATCCCCGCCAGAGGCCTTTGGCTGAAGAGGAGATGCGCCGACCACTGTCCTCTCGCAACTTAGTAGCTTCCAGCCCAGCTGTTAAGGGTTCTGGGCTTGGGGCTTAGGGCTTTGGGTTCAGGGTTCAAAGGCTGATGAGACCATACAAATCGAGTCTTTCGAGTCCGAGCTCCTCGACGGTCAGCCCTGGCCGGGCCAACCACATTGCATGTGCAGCTACTTCTTGGCGGCGGACTGCTTGAGCTGCAACGGAAAGTTCGATAGATCTTGTGAGCACGTTCTGGTATCGGTTGCTGTTTTTGTGGAGTTCGATCTTTCTCCCTGGCTTTTGGTTTCTGCGAGGCTAGACGGAAGCAGGCCCAATCCCTCGCCCTCGGGTCTGCTCCCTAAGTCCCAGCCTTCACGTCAAGGCCCTTTTCCTGATGCTTCTGGACGAATTCGGTTGTCGGACTAGGCATTGGGCTATCCACCTTCGGTGAAAGACACTCGCTGGTCGGCTGCAAGAGTTTTCAAAAGGATCATGTCAGAGCACCTGCGGCACAGCCGAAAAAAGCCGTAGCCTGCAGCACCCGAAGAAAGCCATTCTGCCGCATTTACAAGCATCACCAGAGTCAGGGGACCTGAAGCAATGTCAACATGTTGAGCATGAGAATCTGAGAATCCTATTCCTCCGCACCACATTTTCTGAACAGCGTAGGTTCAAGGTGCGGAGGAATGCGCAGAAGGGCAGCACAAAAAGAGGCAGCTCAGTAGTCGGTGCAAAGGGGGTGAGAGACAGCCGGGCCAGCCGGAAATCTTGTGAAGGGACCTCTGGCCTCTCACTTGGACATGATTCCCAGAGCCTTCTCGCCCATGAGGTCCCCATATTTCTTTGCCTCCGCCTTGTCTTCTTCTGTGATATCATCCCAGCAGGCATTGGGGGTGTCATCTTTGCAGTATGCCGCGAGACACCGGGACACTCCCACACAGGAGCAGTTGAACTCCCCGACGATCCACTTCTCCTCCTCCTTGGGCGTACCCTCGGGGGAGGCAAGAATGAAGTCCGTAGTCCACCAAAGAGGGACCGGCTCCTCAGCCAGCTCCAAAGACGGCATCACCTTTGGCAGATCCTGAGACAACATACTTCGACACAAGGACTCAGAACGGCAATGCGGCTATTCATGTATGTTCCCTTTTGGCATCACGGATCACGAGCCTTCTGCAGGAAGTTGTCGGTCAGTGTCTTGAAGCTTGTCTCCTCGGGGCCGTAGTAAGTGTAGATGGAGCCGGTGCCGCCCACAGCCGAGATGCCGCCCTCCTTGGGCTTCTTGTGGATGATGCCCACGAGTGAATCCACGATGAGATTGTAGCGGAGCTCTCCTCTCAGCTGTCAGTTATCGCGAAACATCGCCAACCCTAATCATTCTCGCCTGCCTTGCTTTGATGTTACCTGTTCTTTCGAACGACAGACCAACAGCCGACAAAGCCCTGACCCGGCCTTCCACGATGCGCGGGCAGAAGCGCTGGTCCACGAGCTGGCCACCGGCCTCCTTGCCACCCTCGAGGTACTTTCCGACGCCCTTGGAGGTCCACTCGCCGGACTTGTCCGTGCGACCGCCCACGCAGAACTCGATGAACTCGGCCACGGTGTGGGTCTCCTCGTGGTTGTCGTTCGCCTCCATCAGCTTCAGGACCTCGCCATCCTCGCAGGACCTCTCACCGTACTCCTTGCAGTAGTTGCCCTCGGCCAGCTTGATGATCCAGATGCCCTCGCCAGAGGAGCCACGGTTCTGCTTGATCACGCGCGGCTGGAAGGCCATGGTCTTCTTGAAGCCGGCAGCCTTAGGACGCCAAAGCAAACAAGCACGAGCCTGGGGACATGTTCCCATTGCAACCCTTGGAGGCGCTTAGGACCTCACAAACTCCTCAGGAGAGTAGTACGCGAGCGTATCCTCCAAGCCAATGTTCAAGGTGGCTACCTGGCACGAGGCACACGCAAGGCGTCAGCGAAGAAGCGCTGTCGCAAGTCCAAGGGGCCTTGCACAGGGCATCCTTCGCACCCATCTTCTCCATAACGTCGGGGGATGGCCACACCTAGACTCTGGACCAGCAAGGATTGGATACTTGCTCAAAGGAAACTTTAAACTCTGCCCACCTGGATGCCAGCCTTTCGAAGTTGACGCATGCCGTCATCGAACTTCTGCTGATCGCCGCCATCTGCCTTGATCTGACCTGCAAGACAGAACACCCTTACGCGGGTAGCATCGCTATCACCCTCCCCACCACCGCCGATACCACCGCCCCGCAAGCCTGGGTTGCAACGGACGATGATGAACTGGAAGCCCTTGCACAGCTCGAAAAAGACATCGTGCTCCTCATGCGTGTAGTGGATCCTGAGGTCTAGCAGACTATAGCAGATGCAATGCTAGATGGCATTTTCAGATGAGAAACAGCTGGCAGCTCATGCCACTGGCGATCATGCCGTTGGCGAACACCATGGAATCGTACCGGTGACCTGCCCGAGTGAACGCACAGACACGCGGCATGCTTGCTCGCTCTTGCTCCCTCTCGCTCTCAACTCTTTCGACTCGATCACCGAGATCTGCACCATTGCTGCTCTTGTCTGAACCTGCCCGGCCGCTCCCGGCTTCACAAGACTCCACCAAAAAGGGACGAGATGGTCACACTGGTTCAGACCCGCGGGCCCCTGCCTCCATAAGGCTGGCTACGCACAAAGATCTGGCAGAGCGCCCCCTTGAACTTGGGCTCTGCAGGTTGAGCCAGCAGGCCCTTATAGTCCTTCACATGCGCATCCCACAATGTCCTAAAGCCGTCTTCCCTAAGGCCAACAGGCACAGAATCCCAGAAATTGCAGACTCGTGCAGTTCCGGCTGGCCGGTCCTTGGCGACGACAGTAATCCGACCAGTGTCCACCGGGCCAGGGCATGGGCCTGCAAAATTTACGACTCCGCAGGATTTCAAGACATACTTTCAGCGAAACGCTGACAATCACTGAAATGTTCTCGCCGACAGCCTTTGGCAGGGCCACCTGTTCAACAGCGCTGGCACTTTGTCCTGCAAGACTCTCCAAGACTGTCGTGGCGCCTGTGGCCAGAGCATCCTTCACTTTCGCAAGCTGATCGGCGGGCAGCTCCTACAAGCACGAATTCTGGCACCGGCCCTCGTAGAATCTTGCGGACGCTCATCACAACCGAGGTCTGCCACGCTGCTACTATTACCGCCCATCCACACCCGACTCGCAGCTGCTCGGCCATGTCATTGGTTCGGAAACTTAAAAATCCATTGTGGCAGCATGTCCACGTCCTTCAATGCTGCAGCGATCTCGTCGACTGACTTTGCCTGGATCTCATTCTTGACATCGGTGGATGCCGCAGACCTTATGGCGAGCAAAATAAAGCAAGATGCACAGGTCCGAAAGGAATGTGCTGAAACATGAACATGCGAATCTGACGCTTTCATCTGCTTTTAAGAAACACGCCCCATGTTGCAAAGATGCTGCCGGGCGAAACACAATCTTATGTGCGCATGCGCAAATCTTGAGCCTCTGCAGCATTGCCAAGAACAAGATACTGTGCGGGAGTAGCGTGACCTAAATTCAATGTGAATGTCACGTTCAACTGTCAAGTGTGCCTGCAGGGCACGAGAATCACATGCAAAACGAAGCAACATCATTTCGTCGTGGGAGCATCTTTCAATCAACATTTTGCTAAATGCGATTGTTGGATGCTGCTTGGAAGTCCGTAGACTTGGAACAAAGCCCCAAAATCGAGGTTTTTTGCTACGAGCTAGGTCGATGGCTCACTATTACTACTGACGGAATGAAGAGGTTTTATACATAGCTCGCTCGCACCATCGCCGTTTATTGCAACTTAAGGTCGTTACTTAGTTGGCACAAGGCTTCGCATCTTGATGATGTGGAACCCCACTCTGACAGTCGCACAGGTTCGTCTTAAAACAGAAAGACTCGTTGCTACGTGCGACAGCCATGCAAAAATCCAACCTTAGAGCAAGCTTCGCCAATGCCCACCCGTTTTCACATGTTTTCATCGTAATCCTCGCTTGACCCGAACTTTCATTGCTTGTGTTTGAAGCGCGGCAGCCAAAGGCTGGGCTGTTTTCGGGGGGTTAAGAGTATTGAGTAACAACCAGTTGTTTCCTTCAGCTGTTTTGCTCAATGTAAACAATGGGAAAGCACAGTTATTGTTTCGTTGTTTCAAACCAGAAATTTGCAAAAACTGTAAATTTCAAACCAGAATTTTGCAAAAACTGTAAATGCCAATCAAATGGATGTACCCATGATTTGAACACACGTGTATCAAATAATATGAAATATATGATTTCTGCAATCATTTATACAAACAGTTATATTATTTATCCCAAAAATCACGCATGCAGACCAACATAGCATATGTAAACATCTCATATGTTGCGACAAGTCATACTATGAAATCTTGCCACATATATTTCATGTTGGAAACGTTCACGACCCACGCTCGCACTTACCTTTATTTCTTGCAGTTACGGCATACGAAAGAAGGGGTGATTAATTCGTGAATTCGGCATGTCGCATCAGCGACATGCCCATCTGAGCCCACACGCGTGAGACATCACACCCTCCACATCGCTGATCAAGGATTCTCGTACGATGGCACACAACCCCCAAATGGAGGGTGGGTGGGCAAGAAAATTTCATGCCATATTGATGTGCTCCAAAGCGCTAAGGTTTTCCGCCACCCACCTCAGCCAAAAGGCGTGGGAAACGAGGAGCGTGCAATCACTACTTGGACCCACGTCCACACAGCATTTGGCTGTCAACGCCGTGCTGACTGATGTGGCATACTTGCATCAGCAGCTGAGAGTCCGGGATAAGACGGTTGTTGAAATTCGGTGCATCCAGTTTCTTAAGAGTCACGACGGCCGTCGGATTTCAGCCTTCCGAAAGAAAGATTACAAGATTTCAAATGCACAAAACAAGAAAGAAAATCAAAATAAGCGGATTCGCCACATTGTTCATAAGAAAAGTGCAAATTTCTGACATTTTAAACCAGAGGAACGGCAGGAAGCAGGTCGGAAAGCATGTGAACCAATTAAGCTTCGAAAGCTGGGTGTTTATCATCGCCTTCTAGCATGCCCGAATGTATTTGTCATAATCTTGCTTTCTCACATCTCCTGCAGTTTGACATTTGACTTTGCAACACTCATGTCGCTGATGCGACGCTAAATGACAAAATCCCCTTGACTTTGCATGCCGCACAGAAAAAAGGAATGGCAGTGCAAGCATGGGTCGTAAGCATTTCCAATGAAGAATTTTAACGTAGACTCCATTTTTTTTGGCGTCAGCAAGCCTCGTTGACGGCAGTTGCCGCAATTGGTCCTAACGAAATCTACAAAGAAGCAACAACGAACAACAAAGCAATTAATAAACGGTGAAACGAGCTGCAACCCTCTCTCTTATATCCATGTTTC